TTTCTTCCTGGTTTCCAGGTCTTGAGCTGCTTCTCTCCACCCCACCCTTCTACCATGATGTTCTCCCTCACCTGGGGCCCAGAGCTAAGGAGTCGGTTGACCATGGACTGAGCCTCTGGACTGTGATCCAACTATACTTTTCCTCCCATAAGCTGTTCTCATCAGATCTTCTCATCACAGCAACAAAAAAGCTCTCTAAAACAGGAGGTGTGCCCTCAAAGGATACTGTAGGACCCCAGTATCTTCCTCTTCCCCTCTTTTGCTTCTTGTCTATGAGATTAGCAGCTTTTCTCTGTCACTTGCTCCCTGCCAGGATATATCATAGCATCCAAAACAATGGGGCCAACCAACAATGGACTGAAATCTCCAAAACTGTGAACCAAAAGAAATTATTTTTCTTTATAAGTTGATTGCCTAAGGTATTTGTTACAGTAATGGAAAGCTGACTAACACAAAGTATTGCACTAATCAAACTGAGATAATCTGAGCATCAAAAAAATGACTATAAAGTAATTAATAAATAAACCTAGTGGGCCATGTATAGTAAGACAGAGATGGAGATAGAGAGAGAGAGAGAAGTCTGTCTTTCTGTAGGAATCCATATCTACAAAGTCAGCTGGTAAAGAGAAGCAAGGGAATGATTATTGGAGAACTCAGAGGCTGTGGTGAGGGGACTGCAGAAGATGGGAGTTTGGCCTGTGGACATATTCTATCTCTTGATCTAGGTAGCGATTCTATCCACAGTTCACTTTGGAATTATTTGTTAAAGTGCCCATATGAATTTATATTTCATAATAAGGAGAAGAGCATCCACATTCAGAGAAGAAGCTAAAACCTAAGTATCCCATTTTTAAAATGCTATTTCAATTCACTGATTCCATTTCTCCAATCCAAGCACCTATTACATTTGACAAGTGGAGATGTATGTGTAATTAAAAAATAGAACTAATTCTTGCAAAAATGTTATTGAGAAAGTCATTTTTTACAAATGCATTTTTAGGGCTTCTTAGAGAACCCAAAGTGAGCAATATCAGGTTGTCAGAAGAGAATTAGCTTTGTAATAAATTCTCTCTCTTCATTTTAGAAGGTTTGAAAATTCCTCAAGCTATAAAATGTCGACTCTTTTCTAAAAATGGAAAGAGGAAACGAAATGGAGAATCTCCTTAATTTAAATTAACACCCAGCTAACTTGGGGTCTTACGTAAGTTGGCTTTCTGTAGCTCACTCTGAAAATATTAATGAAGTTATCAAAAGAAATTTGATTTTCATAGAAAAGGAATTTGATTAGAGCCTGGAGGAGCACTGATTGGAATCTAATGCATGCAGAGGTTGGTGTCAGGGGCTCCAGCAGGTACTGCTTGGGGCTAATTGATGAGCACCATTTGTTCGTTTTTGCCTCCTTTCTTCCTTTCCACACTGTCTGTACTCCCCTATCATTACCTCGATAATAAAAGCCCACATGATAAAAATTGAAAATAACAGGCAGATTCCATCTCTCCTAGATCAGTCTTAGGTGAAACCTTTTCATCTTCAGAAGGATTTGCTTCTTCTTCTTCTTCATTTTAACACATTATTCTGCTTTGCCCAGAAAATTATTTTGTCTCAGACAACTCTTATTTATTCATTCTTGTGGATGAAAGCAGAAGCCTGGGTAATGCAGAATGATACAAATCCAGAAACCTTTTATATTTGACTTTCAAATGTGGGTTTGCACTTACATTTGATTATGCATGTGTTTAATATTCTGAAAATTCATTTCAGGCAGAAAAAGTGCCTACCTGAAAAAAACCAAAAAACCAAAAAAACTTAGATGCTATCCTGGGTCCTGAACACCACTTCTTAGCTGACATCTAGCCCCAGAGAACAGGTACTGGACTATTCAATAGAAGACAGGTAAAAAAAAGTTCCTTAACCCCCTCACCCTCGCCTCGACTTCTCATACTCTTCCTTGAAGCAGGAGAAGCCAGTGCTTCCCAGTGCTTCCTGGATGCTGTGCATGTCCCACTTACCATCTTAGATGCAAATATATTTGCATTAATATCTGGGAAGGTGTCTTTGCTTTCTAGGAGATTGCTGCTCACCCGTCTAAAGATTATCTTTTCTCGTCTCTCTTTCTCGGCTAATTCAGTTGTTACCACAGGTCTCCACCTTCTAAAAGGAAAGATTATATATCAGGACATGAGGGTCCTGGGGAGATGCCCTGGAGTCCATCCACAACCATTATTATATTTATTACTAATCTGTTCACCCTCATAGGCAAATGGGATCAAACCAACATAGGCACAAACAAGTAGTTCAACTGCTAAACCCTCTCTTTGTGATTCGTCAGCTAATAAAAAGAACAAGCCAACATGGCAAATACCACTGTGGTCCTTCCCAGTGTCCTACTTCCCAATCCCATGATGGAGACCGCAAAGCCGCTGCTAACTTCCTCAGCTTTCTATGTAGCAGAAGCTTGTGTTTTCTTTTGTTTGTTTGTTTGTTTGTTTTAACTACCAGAAGAGAGCAGAAGGATACTGGCAGAAAAGTGGTATGGTCAGATTTTCCTTGCTGACGGGTCAAATTTTACACACTGTTAACTGAAATGTGAATGGAAAAGAGGAACGAAAGGGAAGAGAGAGAGAAACAGAAAAGGGTGGATAAGGAAGAGAAGAGGAGGGGGGGAGGAAGGGAGGGAGAGAGGGAGGGAAAGAAGAGGAAAGGAAGGAAGTCCATGAAGCTCTAAGGACACAGACACACACAAGGAAATGCTATGAAGACACAGGAAAAGATGGACATCTCTTAGCCAAGAAGAAAGACTTCAGATGAAGCCAATCCTGCTAGCACCTTGATTTTTGGACTTCTAGCCTCTAGGATTGTAAGAAAATAAATCTCTGATAGAGGATAGAAACAACCTGTCTCTATCCTGTGGTTTCTCCCATTGCTGTCTAGAAGTTCCAGGCATGAGGGGACATGGGTAAGGGTGGGCCCACTCCAAGCCTACCCTTCCTCTTGGCATCTGATTGTGGTCGTGCCCTCTCCTCTGCCATCCCTACTCCCACTGCCCCCCACCCCAGCCCCAGGCTCCCCGTTGGTCCTCTCAGTGAGTAATCTGTGGCTGCTCCTCTGGGTTCTCAGCAGACTGAGCTCAGGACCCTGCACTTGGCTCTAGATGTGCAAAGGAATGTTTTGAAACAGAAGGAAACTAAAAAACCAAATCTTTTCTTTCCTACTGCAGCTGCATTTAAAAGAATGCATTCCTGCCTTGGACTTAAAATATCTCATTTGTCATGCAAACTCAGCAGATACTCCTTTATCTAGGTCTTGCAATCTCCTTCTCAAGCTCTGACTGCCACGGATTCAATGCAAGGAGAGCCTACATCATCTCAAGGAAGAAAAACACAGCAGTTTAATATCAGGAAAGCATTCTGCCTGTGGCATTCTGCAGAAAGCTCACTCAGGCTGCAGACAGGAAATGAATTAAACATGGACAAGACAGGAGGGAGAGGGGCCACTTAGGATGCTCTTGCAAAAGTCCAGGCAAAGCATGATGATGAATGTAAGGTGGGGAAATGGAGTTGGAAAGGGGAAAATTAAAGAAATATTTAGATACCAATATGAAGATTCTAAGGCTCTACCATCTGTTGTTTCCTGCAGGAGGAGCTAGCTTGTACACCAAGTGAAGGAGCAGGTTGAGGGGCAGGGATGGGGTAGACCAGAAGGCAAGAAACCCAAGACCAGATCAGGTGAAGCCCATTAGCATTAGACTTAATGTGTTGGCTCAGGGTCCCAGGCTGGGTGTTCTAGAAGCCAATGCTGGGACTGAGTTCCAGGTATAAGAAGTTCATTAGAGATTTCTGTAGGCTGACTTGTTCCAGGGACAGACAGGTGCAAATGGTGGGAACAAAAGATTAAGAGAATAATTCTATGACATGGGCCCACCGGGCTGACCCCCACATATTTTCTTTCCCAGAAGCAATTTACTTGCAGCCCTGCCTGGCCTAAGTGGACAGGATATGTCACATTCCTTAGCAAATTACCTATTACCTGCAGTAGAAAATGCAGGCCCAAAATAATGTTGATGAGAGGAACCCAAGTTACCCTAAAGAAGGAGAACTTTGTGACCCTTTTGATAGACCAGATCCTGAAACTCAGAGGGATAAGAATAATTCCTCCTAACCATAAAACCTGTAAGAATTTATGGTTAAAAATCCAATTAGAACCAGTCAGCAGGGGCCAAGGTGACCTAGAGTTGCCATGGCAGTGGGGACTTGAAAGTCTGAAGTCACCCTGCTGTCCGTCAAAAGTCAAGAGGTGGACCTGGGCTGACCTCTCTGGAAACTTCTCTGGGACCCCTAATAAAACTGGAGCTCAAGAGAGGTACACTGTTCCTCTCCTTTCTGAGAGGACCCACTCTCTCCCTTGAGTGTCTCCTTCCCCTTTTCCTATCCCTTCAGTAAACTCTGTTACTCTGAGTGACATGTCTGAAATGTTTCTGACTTGATAGCAAAAAAAATGGAGTTGAAGGGGAGGGGTCTTTGTGTTGCCTCAGTTTCCTGGAAGGCCTCAGCTTTCTAACAATATCATTGGTGTCCTTCTACAAAAAAGGAAATTAGGACACAGACACCTTCTACAAAAAAGGAAATTAGGACACAGACACACACAAAAGGAAAGATGGACTTCTATAAGCCAAGGAGAAAGGCTTCAGAAGAAGCCAAACCTGCTAGCACTTTCACCTTGGATTTATAGCCTCTAGGATTGTAAAAAAAAATAAATTTCTGCTTTTTAAGCCATCCAGTCTGTGGTACTTTGTTATAGCAGCTCATGCTGACTAATACAGTGATCAATACCTGTGAAAGGAACAGGAGGAATAAGAATTAAGCAGAGAGGGAGGTGGAACTGCATTCAAGACCCCGAAGCGGTAGCTAATCTGGAAGGATTGTCCTGTAGAGCACAAGAGTGGCTGTGCCTTCTTAGGCCACCTTACTCAATCACCAGATGGAGGCAGCTTTCATGCCAACATGACCTCAGGCCAGGCAGCTCTGCATCTGCAGAGGACCCTGAAGGAGCTGACGGATGGAGGCTGTTTGCTGCGCAGGCTGGGCACACAGTGCAGGATATTGCCTTGGAGGAGGCAGCACATCTGCATGCCCATCACAGTTCACCCCCTCACCCTGCTCAGGTAGGTGTAGTTCCTCCAGGATTTCAGTGGACTTCACCTCTCTCCCCGAGAGGAAACTGATTTGTGATACAACCAGTGGATCCCACAGTCATAGACTCACTCCATGTCTCCTCTACTGTAAAATAGGTCCCACTTTTCTGATGCTATGTAGGATCTGTTTTCACAAGTTCTAGTGCTCGACAGCATGGCAGGGTGACTGTAGATCACAGTAACCTGTTACATGTTTTATGAAGAATTAGAAAAGAGGAGCCGAAAGCCTCCAAATCCAAAGAAATTATAATAAGAAAGAAATGTTAATTGTCTGATTTGATCAGTACACATGTGTACAGGTATTAAAATATCCCACTGTACCCCCATAAGTGTGTACAATGACTACATGTTAAAATGTTTTTTAAAGAAAAATATATAGTTTTATTATTATTCGGGTTATGTTAAGGCCAACAAATCTAGAGCCAGCTGCTGGAGAAAAGACAATTTACTGCAATTTCCAAGAGAAAGGGGCATGGCACAGTGCAGTAGGGGGCGGTGGGTACACAGAGAAGTATCAGGACTGGACATTGGGTATAGGGAAGGGCAGGGAACAGGAGCAAAAGCCATTATTGCAGCTTCCACAGGAAGGAATGGGTGAGGCAAAGTAGGCAGGCTTGGAATTGGCTGGCTAGAATAATTTCAGGGGTCTCTGGAGTGTAAGAGTAGTCGCTAGGTGTCACGTACCTGGCCCTGGGGTGATTAAGGCAGAGTATAAGAACCTGATAGAGAAGGTGCTCGGAGATATGGCTCTGGATTGGTCAGTTTGCATTTGAAAGTTACACTCATGGATGAGTTATTTACTATCTCTAAGAACTGGCTAGCATTAAGAGAGACTGTTTTCTCAGGGATAGCCCCAGGTGGGAGAACATCAAAATACAAATACAGGATTGATAAAGAATCACATGCCAGTGAATCAGACATTATGGAAGCCTTTGCATGGTGTTGAGGGCACCTGAGCAGAAAATGCAAAACCATTCCCAGAATGTGTATATTTCCTGTGGAAATGAATGGAATCATCTTGCTACCGAGTGACCCCTTAAACTCTTTTTGAGTAGTGGTGCCATATTGGAGGTTTACTTTGGTCTCTGTTTCTGGCAGGTCAGATATCCACCAGAGACAGTAGCAAAATCAGTTTTAGTAAATGGGCGTCTCTGCTGTACCCACGTGTAGCCTCCAGCTCTGATAAGATATGATGGCCATTTAATTCATGTGCTCACCCTGCCAGCACTGGGACAATTACTGATAGACACCCATTGCCATCAAATGTTTGAGTCATTTTGTCTATTTGGTTGTTTAGTGTGATGGTTCTGGGAGAATTTTGTCCCACCTCCTCTCAGGGACACTTGGTAATACTTACAACATTTGTTTGTCACATGTGGGAAGTTGCCGGTAGCCTCCAGTTGCTGCTAGACATCCTCTGATGCAAAGGACAGTCCTCCAGAGCCAGGAATTATTAGCCCCAAATGTCAATAACATTGACCATTGAGCGCCCCTTCCATGATGGATATACACTTGTGTAGGATACCTTGTCTTACAGGTATCCTCTCTCTTCACAGTCCCTCCCGTCCGTCCATCCACATGACTTTACCCCAGACCTTTTTGTGCTTGATCTTCCAACCTTATCCTTCTGAGCTCTTGACTAGTCAAGTCCACAGTTCACCAATGCCCACAAGTTTGTGTATATTCTAAATGTGTTACTTCCCTTTTCATACAGTCAGTGATCGGGTGTATTGCCCAAAGACCTGATCTTTGGGAAGGTTTTGCCTTGCCACTGTCTTTCAAGGTCCCCCTTGAAAGTAGTGTGCTTACTGTCCATTTGCAGTTTCCATGTATATGCCAACCCAGCCCATCTCTGTACCCACCTCCAGGCTTTCTCTTCCTCCTCCTTTTGTTGCAAAAGACTTCCACACCCGTGCGCACATACACATACCCACATAGCCAGAGATGTGAGCTGAAATTAGGGGAATCGGGAGCACTAAAGTGTGCGATTCCTGTCCATGCAGATTGCTGGCTCTCTAGTCCTGATCCTGCTCAACCCTGCAGCTAACAATTTTATCTAAGATCTTACAAATGGTTGCTCTCAAGTCCACCCAATCTTATGACATGGAGGGACTGTCAGGACTCAACTCATGAGAAGCAGTGCCCTCTACTGGTCACTTGCTATCTGTGGTCAGAAAACATGACTCTAACAGGACATGGCAGCATAGCAGAAGTCATTTTTCCAAAGCTGTGTTCCTCTCCACTGCAGATAGTGTCTTAAATCATTTTATGTTGCTACAACAGACTATCTCAGACTGAATAATTTTTAAGGAAAAGAAATTTCTTTCACACTGCTGTGGAGGGCTGGGAAGTGCAATATCAAGGGGACTAGTGTTTGGGGAGGGCCTTCTGGATGTGTCATAACATGGCAGAGGGCACCACATGGTGAGACAGAGCAAGTGCGCTAGCTGGAGTTTTTCTTCCTCTTTTTATTAAGCCATTAATCCTATCATGGAAGACTCCTCCTCATACCTCCTCTAACCCTAAATGCCTCTCAAATACCCCCTCCAAATGTCATCAATAGATAAGTTTGGAGATTAAGATTCCAATGCACAAACTTTCAGGGGACAAATTCAAACCATAGCTGACAGGATGGGCCTGCTACTGAACCTGATGATAGGATTTCTCCATTGTGGCTTCTCACAAACTCAACATGTTACCTTTTCCTACTGCTGATACCATAGGATCCTAATGGCATGAATGCTTATCCTGAAGCCTAGACCCAATGCAGAGCCTTTTCTTGTCCTGGGTCCCACTCACATGTGGGAGGCATTTATATTACCCAGTATATAAATGTATATGACATAGGCTGCCTCTCAAGATTCAAGAGGTCCACCACCTTCTTCATCATCAAAGTTGTAAAATGGAATCATTTATCTTTCATTTTGAAGGGAGACCTTAAAATATTTTAGGGATGGATCAGCCCTTGAGTCTTTGCAGAGGTGCCTCTCACCCTCTGGAACACACTTCCTCACCAAGGCCTCCAGGGTGCTAGCCACCTCTTGCTTATGTAGCCTGCTCAACATACTGTCATCTCCAGGTAGCTCAAAGATCTTCAGACAACATGACAACAGAGAGTGAGTGAGTTGGCATAACCTTAGGGAAAAATCTGTGTAAATTGTTATCCATTTGCAAACTATTTCTGATCCTCCTTTTCAGACAGTCAAAGTTGCTAAGGTTGGCCTCTATTTCGTGATCCTCCTGCCTCAGCCTTGAGAGTCCCTAGGATTACAGGCTTCCACTACTGCACCTGACTAGTTCAAAATCTCCCCATTTCATGGTTTCTAATTACACTTGTAAAGCCCCTTTTACCACATACTGTAAAATAATCAAGATTCCAGAGATTAGGAAGTAGACATCTTTGGTACCTATGATTCTGTGTCCCATACCCACTGTCAGGATTTTTATGGTAATCTGTTCTTTGAATAAGGCTACTTTTATTTCAAAATTATTGGGCCCATTCATCAAGTTTGAGTGATTTCCAGTTGGGTCACAGTGTGGTAGTGACCAGCCAGCAGAAGGCTGCTTTTCACTTAGCCATCAATATTCGGCCTCCTCAGTTTTAGTCAAGAAGGAGAACAGATGCCATTTATAATATGCATCACTGATATGATCGAGGAATGGCTTCTGACCACTTTGCATCTTATCAACTATTCTCTATCACTTTGTTGTGAGAGGTACAGCAGTCTACCCTTCCACAGCTTTGCTTTTCATGGTTTCAGTTACAGATAGTCAATTGCAGTGAACAGTTCAGTTGTATCTCTGCCCAAACTGTAAATATTAAATGAGCAATTCATAAGTTTTTAATTGTGCACTGTTCTGAGTAGCATGAAGAAATTTTATGCAATCCATCCTCATTTGGGATATTAATCATCCCCTTGTCCAGTGTATCCACACTGTATACATTATTCACCTGTTAGTCACTCCACCTCTGTCTCAGTTATCAGCTTGTCTGTCATAGCACTGCAGACCTTGCTTTTAAGTAAACTTACATAGTGGCCTAATTCTGCCTCAAAGTGCCTGTGTCACCTCCCTCCATCTCACCATGTAGTCATCACATCATCTCACATCATTACAAGAAGAGAAAGGATGAGTATAGTACATTTTGAGAGACCACATTCCCATAACTTTTATTATAGCATATCTGTGTAACCATTTTAGTCTTAATTATTATTTGTATCTGTACTGTGCTTGATTTATGGTTAAACTTTATCACAAGCATGTATGCATAGAGAAAGTGTAGTGTCTGTAGACAGAATATCTTCAGACATTCACAGGGTAGATTTTGTAACACATCCCCCAAAGATAAGAGGAGAACTTTTCATTGTCCTCATTTTTAGATGAAGAGACTAAGATTCAAAAGAGTCAAAGTAAATTGTTTCTGGTTACTAGCTAATAAATGTGCAGACCTGGAACTTACCACCTTACTCTGTGTGACACAAAACCCCATTCTTTCTACTCCATTTCACTGATAACCCTTGAAGAGAAGGTAATCCCTTTTATCTGAAGTCATGGCATTAACACAGGACACTCCTGTGCAAAAGCCCTCTCATTTCTTTGATACAGCAACCCAAAGAGCGAATCAATATGTTTTTGAATGATGAACCAAATGGAGATGCCCAAAGGATCAGCAGCAGCTCTAATTTACATTCTGCTAAAATTTCCACTTTCTGTAAAAAGATTTAAAAAAAAAAAAAAAGGACAGAAAAAAATCTGTCCACCGAGTCACGTTAGCAGATCTGTGGCTTGTTTCATGGGAGCAAAATGGCTTGTTTGTTAATGCGTCCTGGGGCCATTATTTATAATGGGCAGCAACAGAAAGCAGTAACGAAGCTGGCAGGCAGCAAGAAGCCACGTAAAATTTTAATTGGGAGGCATTTTCTGGATTTTGATTTTAAATGCCCTGTTGTTATAAAGGGAAAGCAGCTTTC